TGATGATGATTTTGTAAGCGATAATATTGATTGGAAAGAACAAAAATCAGATATTATTAAATATACGAACTCAATCCAATATCGAACTCGTATTGAATGGCAGCAAAAATTGAAAAATGTTGGCTTTTGTCTTAAAGCAACACTTGGTTATGATCAATCAAAATCCAAAAATTTTCAAGAGTTATATTATTCTGTTTTTCAACTCATCGTTAAGTGATCTAAATTTTTCAGACAAAGAACAGTAGATTTAACTCGATTCATCTTTTATTTTCATTAAAAAATGTGAATAACGAGGGTATGGGTGTGGGCGTGTGTGTGGGGTGTGGGTGGGTGATGAGTGTGGGTGTGGGTTAAAATATTTTTCACACCCGCACCCAGACCCACACACACACACCCACACCCACACCCACACCCGTCCATATTATCATTGATGATCAATGATCAACACGTACAATTAATGTGTATATCAATTAAGCTATATCTAGACCCATAGATTGAGATAGTTGTGATTGAATTTATCTCAATGTATGTGTATATCTAGATTAAAGCTTAATTAAACTCGACGTCTGATTATTTTCCGACGAGAAAAATAATAATGAATATTCTCTCCCCCAAGAAAAACGATTTCTGAGGGATATAAAAATGAATGATTTTCTTCGAAGAAGTCATTCAATTATTTGAATCACATAATAATTATTTTGTTTTATATTTTAGGTTGGCTTCGACAATACAAAATTATTCAATTCAACATCGAACAATAAAATAAAATGTGGTTATCAGTTTTTTATTTTTTTTATTTTTACTTATTCTTTTGGATCATATGGAGGGTGGTAAGTTCTCCTATGATCTTTTTTATGTGTTTTTTTTCCATTTTAGGCATTCGACAGTGAAAAAGATAACGGGTGGAGTAAGTCATCTCGTTCTTTTTCATCATATAACATTAAGTAAATTTTTTTTTCTTTTCTTTTTAGTACTCAATATCATCGCGTCATCATCATCAACAACGTCATCATTCAACGTCAAACATGGTGAGTAATTTTTTTTTCTTTTTTTGAGTTGAGAATAAGGGAGAGGTAGATTGAGGAGGATGAGTTCTGTCCGTTGAGTGTTAGGGTTTTGTCTTCTATGAAGGACTTCCGGGTAGTCACTAAACGCCCGACCAGGAACTGTCTTGGTGTTCGTGGCACATGACCGAGCCCCCCAGACTCATTGATATATCTCTCGAATGGGAAGGATATGAATGATTTGAGTCTGTCCCGTGCATGCATGAGTGTTATGCTCGCCACGACTCCACCAGAATGGTTCCTGGTCGCGCGCGAATAGAATGGACATTCATTTCATCAATTCAACGTGATTTATTTGAAACGAAGGGAAAGAAAAAAAATCTATCACAACGAGTCTATTCGATTGAAAAGCGTTGAACACGATAATTCCAATTTTCGACAACATAGAGATTGCCTTGTCGATCTAAGGACAAATCCCAGGGAGCGTTGAGCTGATTTGCTCCTTCTCCTTTACCATTTCCACCCACAATGACAGTGCCCTGTTGCGCTCCTGTAGACCAGCCCATCACTCGATCATTCAACGAGTCTGCCACATAGATGGTACCCAACGTATCGATCAACAGTCCTTGAGGAAACCACAATTGTGTCAGAGCATTCCCATAGCCTTGACCTGCAGCGACGACAGTTCCTTCTTTTGCATCTTTATTCCATTTCATTACACGATGATTGTCACGGTCTGACACGTAAACAGCTTGTTGTTGGTCGACAAAGATGTAGGTCGGCACATTGAGTTGATTGAGACCTGCACCTCCGCCATTGCCACCAGCCACGATAGTTCCATTCTTGTCTCCTATTTGATATCGTCTTACTTCATATCTTTCGACGTCAGAGATATAGAGATATCTCTGATTATCCATGGCCAATCCTCGACAAGCGATATTGTCAATGAGGATTTCTCCTTGAATTGTACCACTACGACGAGACCATCGTACAACTCGTCTATTACCTCGATCACAAATAATGAGACTATCCGTCTCTTTGTCGATCAAAACATCGGCTGGTTGATACAATTGATCCAATTGATTTCCTTGGCCATTGCCACCAGCTACTACTTGTCCATTCGTATCACGCATCTTCCATTGGATGATACGATGATTGTCACAGTCAGCGATGAGTATCGTCTGATCATCATCGACGAAGAGACCTTCAGGCCCGTTGAGTTGATTGGTGGCACTGCCCCATCCATGACCTCCAGCAACGGTTACCCCATTCTGTTTCCATCGGGCATCAATTGGAATATTGGAAATTACTAGAATGAACGAAAAAGAAAAGAAATCGTCTTTATCGAAGGGATCTCGTCTCTCGTGGGAGCAAGCGCTACAAATACGACATTCATCTTTAAGAATGCTCATTCCACAGATAAAAATTCAGAAGTTTTTCCTAGTTTCCTATAAAAAAGAAGGATTTCATAACAATTCTTACATCTATACCACTTTTAGTTTTTGCTAAGATCTTTTTGATTCTAAAAACAGCACCTTGAGATTGCTCTAAGAAGGTCCTCTAAGAAAGAGTAATGCTAATTCCATCTAAGCTTTTGATAGAAAAACATAGAGATCTGAGAATTTTATTTGAGATTTCGAGAATGCAGAATCTTTTTGTCGGATAATCATTTACATGAACATCAGACAAGAAGAACTATGTAAAACTCCTAAACTGAAAAAATCTTGAGAAGATTCTATTTGCATCTTGTTATGAAGACGTCAAATCTAATCCCTGCTGTTGGAGAACTTTGAGAATGCTTTTCACGTCATAGGACAATTCAGGCAGATCTATAGAATTTGATCTTCTTATATATAAAGAAGAATGTTTATGTGTCTGTCTGTTATTTATGCATTTCCACACCGTACGAGCGAATGCAATCAAACTTTCAGGAATTCTCCTCTCATCCAGGAGAAGATCAACACTTTTTTTTTCAAAAAGAATTGGTCCTTCGCTCGCAAAAAGCATATCTATGTTGCTGACCAATCAGGCTGCAATATTCTGTACTATAGAAGTACGATTAAGCAGCACTTCGTGAACACACAGAAAACATGGAACTACAGGTTTTCGAGGTCGATGAGTTCGAATTAGGGATCCAATCACCTCAAAATCTGATTGGTTGGCCCGAAACCAATAGGAATCGAGTTTTTGGGAAAACGAATATCAAGGGCGGCCCATATCATATGCAAATCCAGTTTTGGAGAAGATGATACCTGGAGATCGTGTGAGGCGAGAATTTCGAATAAATAGCCTATGATGCTGAAAATCTGTGCGTCATAGATATCGACTCCTTAGGTTGTTAAAGAATCTGTCCCCCAAAAATCTTTCTGTCTGTCTTGCTTTGCAATCAATTGGAATTCAGTGTAATTTCAGTAGTACAAAATGCGACGTTCTAGATCAATTAGATGTGTCGTTGTGCTTAGTTTCGATCAAAACGGATTTTTCTTGCAACGCTGTCGAAGAATCAATTGTCCATGTGGGCTCTTCACTAGAAACATAACTATACAGCTCTGAAAGCAGAAACGTGACCAGAGTTAGTCGGAATCGGCGCCGATCGAGATGGGTATATGCTCTTATAAACGCTTGGCCAAGATAAAAAGTCGATAGAACTCATAAGTTTCATCAAGCTCTTCTTGATCTAGACGTGTAAGGACGAACAATCCTTCACTTCTGATCAATTTTTCAATGTCAGTATTTCATATCTGTCGAGAGCGAGAGTAGCCGTGCCTGGGACTTGAAATACGTCCAAGAGTCGTAACCAGAACCGGAAGAAAAAATAGAGTTTTATACGCGTCTACTCCCTACTGATTAGGTTTTCTGACATGTTCTCGAGCGCAATAGGAGTTTTGCTTACATATATTAAGACTGAATTTTTCCAGACAACGTCGGGTACTTCCGCTAGTGACTTATAATTTCGAAATGCTAAGAAGAGAAATACTAATCCAATCGATGCTCTCCATAGGATAACATATGGATATGTAGATTTTATACATAATTTAGAATGCGTGGATCTTAATTAGATAGTCAGAATTTGTTTTTGATAGATGCACAATTGAATTCTTTACAAACTTGTATGTATCTTCATTTAAAACAACATAGAAATGCGAAAAAAACATTTTAACATGTAAATAAACGATTGGATTATTAAAATGTACTTTTTACAAACTGTAAGTTCTTGAAATCGAACAAGCAAAATACTCATAACAATGTGTTCTTTTTTAATTTTAATATCTCCATCATAAAATTTATATTCATATTTGCTTCTCTGATAGGAAAATTTTTCTTACCACTCATTTCAAAAAAAATTTAGCAAATTGTACGACTGTCTCAGCTTTTATGTATAATCTATTTATTCGTCTCTTTCTAAGCAAAATCAGCAGACGTAGAGAGAAATCCAACTTCGAATGCTTATTCATGTTGTGATAAAAATAGAATAATTTCAATAGCTCTAAGAAAAGTTGATTCTCAAATAAATCAGCAACAGATTCTTTTATGTGATAAGAATAAAAGAAAACAAAGCATCTTGAAAATTTTTATGATCGCACAAGTATTAGAAACATGAGAGAAAAGAATACAACAATAACTATCCTAGATCGCAAGTAGATCAAAATCGCATTTTGAACTATGAGAAAAATAATATGTGAACGAAGTAAACAAATAGAAGAAGAAACAGATATCAACTCGTAGATGAGTAAAAAAAAGAAAAAAGTAGTCGGACAGTTTTAAGAACATCCTATTCTGTATGATTGTTAGAAAATTGACTGGCTAGTCTGCTAAGAAATTACAGCGGTCTATAAATAATAATTCTTCCATCAGGTATGTTTGTATAAATATAAATAATTGAACTAAAGATACTGTGTCTAAATACGTTAAATTGTTTTGAAAAGAATGAGCAAAAACGAGCAGTTTTTGAATATATTAAAATTTGTTGAGAAAAATACGTATTTTTTTAAAGTCTTATCGGACTGGTTTGTTACTATCTTATAACAAATGACTTATTACTCTGACATTGATCTGAAAGAGTGTATATCAAATTAAAAAAACTCAAAAGAATTTTAAATTTGATATAGGTTTTTATGTCAATAAAATTCAACTATAATAAGTCATTTGTTACAAGATGATAAGGAGATTGACATAACTCAAAATTCATCTAAAGTATATTTCCAGTAACGTAAATCTTAGGAATATACGCATTTCAAATATCGAACGCTTACTAACATGTAAAGATATACGATATACATGATTCCACATCTAGGAAGTTCATCAAACTATTCCACGTTCTGTGACGGTAACATATATGTATATATAAATTGTTGCGTAGATTTCGAACCTTTTTGAGTTTTTTTCGTCTTTTCTGAATATATAGAGTTGAACAGATAATAAAAAATATATATATATGACATATAAATTATCATCTAAAATCGATATACTCAATTGGCATTATTATTAAGAATGTACATTATTAGAAAACATGTTAAAATAAAGAATAATCGAACAATTTTGACACGTCTCTGAGTAAATGGATGATATCTATGACAAATTTATATATGGTTAATTGGTTGAAGTATGTAGTTTTGTAGAGAAAGATTAGAAGTATCATTTGAAGAAAAAATACTTAAAAATGCATGCATGTAGTATAATATTATGATCATATTACTACTGTCCGTTTCAAAATATAGTGCGCGCCACTGTTTTTTAAATAACTCAAGAATGGAATGAGCTAGAGAC